TGCCCAGTCTGTGAAACCGAAGATCAACACTGAGGAAAAGCTGCCCCGGGAAAAACTCAACCCACCCACACCTAGCATCTATGTACGTGTGCCCTGTATGCTCAAAACCGCCCCTGCCTGTGAATTTTAGGACAGGGTTGGGGCTGTTGGGGTGCCCTGAGCCTAGGACAGGGCTCTGACCCCAGCCCTGTCTCCTTGGTTGTCCCTTAGCTGGAAAGCAAACGGGATGCCTTCTCGCCGGTGCTGTTGCAGTTCTGTACAGACCCTCGAAATCCCATCACCGTGATCCGGGGCCTGGCAGGCTCCCTGCGGCTCAGTGAGTGTGTGGGTAGAAAGGTGTGGGGAGGGCTGCAAGGATCTGGGACTTCAGGGACCTCTGAGGGTCCCTCCTCTGGAAGACCGGACCACAGCTATAGTGAGCTCTCCTCAGTCACATGTAAGCCGTATTTGACGAGTGCTCTGAGTGAGGGGTCAGCTGACTTCAGGCTTCCCTTCCATCTGTTTGAACCCAGCGGTAGGCAAGTGGAAAGGGGGAGGGATCTCAGGATCTGGTTAAGAGTCATTTCTGGTTTTCTTGGTGATGAAGGATCTGAAGAATACAGATTGTGCAAAACCTGAGAAGCCTCGTGGTTTAGGGCTTTCGTCTTTTTCAACTTTTTATAGTGCACAATTTCAAACAGATACAAAAGTAAAGGGAAACCATACAGAATTGTAAAATCAGTCTTGTTTTTTCTATACTTGTAGCTCTCCATTACCCACATATCCTCCCCTTCCTTCACTTTTACTTGAAGCAAATTCTAAGCTTTCACTTGACAGAAAACTTTCATTGGATCCTGTGATAATGTAAAGAAATTGTTCTTCATTGAGCATATACTGTGTCAAGTGTTCTGCGTGTGTGGCCTCATGCATACATGAGGACTCTGGGGGAGGGGCTGGGACCGAGCAGCAGGGGGAGAAAGGGGGTTGGCTCTGATCCAGGTAAAGGCCAGGTCAGGGAGGGCCAACCCTCCCAGCTTCATGAGCGGCTAGGGTTCTCATCTGTGCTTTCTGGATCGAGCTCTGAGAAGCCTGTGTCCACCCCGTCAGAGGTGTGAGGAGCAAGAAGGGACAGGGTGAGTTGGGGCCTCACTCCCTGCTCCGCCCTCCCTTGCAGACTTGGGCCTCTTTTCCACCAAGACACTGGTGGAGGCAAGTGGGGAGCACACGGTGGAGGTGCGCACCCAGGTGCAGCAGCCCTCGGATGAGAACTGGGACCTGACGGGTACACGACAGATCTGGCCCTGTGAGAGCTCCCGTTCCCACACCACCATCGCCAAGTACGCGCAGTATCAGGCTTCATCCTTCCAGGAATCCCTGCAGGTGAGAGCTGCCCATGCAGGCAGAGGCAGGGGGTGTGGGATCAGGGGACTTGGAGCCCTGGTTGTGGTGGGCAGACTCCAGGAAGGTGGCTGACCCAGGCCTGCCTACCCCTGTGGCCGAGCAGGAGGAGAAGGAGAGTGAGGACGAGGAGTCAGAGGAGCCGGACAGCACCACAGGAACCCCTCCTAGGTAGGATGCTTTGCCCCTGCCGTTCATGACTCCTTCCCTTCCCTGCACTTCCCCACCAACCTGTGCACTTCACTCCTGCAGCAACACACCAGACCCGAAGAACCATCACATCATCAAGTTTGGCACCAACATCGACCTGTCCGATGCTAAGCGGTCAGTGGGGCTGAGGCGAGCCAGCTGGGGCGGGAATGCCAACCGGTCGGCAAAGTCCAGGTAGTCGCTCACCTGGCTGCCCCCTCGCCCCCGCAGGTGGAAGCCCCAGCTGCAGGAGCTGCTGAAGCTGCCCGCCTTCATGCGGGTCACTTCCACGGGCAACATGCTGAGCCACGTGGGCCACACCATCCTGGGCATGAACACGGTGCAGCTGTACATGAAGGTGCCCGGCAGCCGAACGCCAGGTGCGCTCCTAGCAGTGCTGCCGCTGGCGCTCCTCTCTAAACCAATGAGCGCCCAAGGGCGGGCTCATCGCGCTACGCAGGCTCAGCTCCCACTGACCGTGCAGTTCTCTACCGCCCCCTGCAGGCCATCAAGAGAACAACAACTTCTGCTCGGTCAACATCAACATTGGCCCAGGTGACTGCGAGTGGTTCGCGGTGCACGAGCACTACTGGGAGACTATCAGCGCCTTCTGCGACCGGTGCGCGCCACCTTCCTCCCCAACTAGATAAGCCCCCACGTCCTGTCCTTGGATCCCCAGATTTCCATCTGACTCTGTGGTTCTCCTCCAGGCACGGCGTGGACTACCTGACGGGTTCCTGGTGGCCAATCCTGGATGATCTCTATGCTTCCAACATCCCTGTGTACCGCTTCGTGCAGCGCCCCGGAGACCTGGTGTGGATTAACGCGGGCACCGTGCACTGGGTGCAGGCCACTGGCTGGTGCAACAACATCGCCTGGAACGTGGGGCCCCTCACCGGTGAGAGAGTGGTGCCAGGTGGTGGGGTGAGCCACTCAGCGGTGAGGGGCTGGGTCCCTGGGGAGTGAGCCCTGTAGAGGGGTCGCTTGGAGGGCGCCAGGGCTGCGGCCCAAGTGGCTGGAGCTGTTGGTCACTTGTGATCCTCTCTGGCCTGCAGCCTATCAGTACCAGCTGGCCCTGGAACGATATGAGTGGAATGAGGTGAAGAATGTCAAATCCATTGTGCCCATGATTCACGTGTCCTGGAACGTGGCTCGCACGGTCAAAATCAGCGACCCCGACTTGTTCAAGATGATCAAGTGAGGGAGGGCCCTGTTTGGGAGGGAGCCCATCCCCATCCGACCTGGCCCGCAGAACAATTCCTGGTTCCACCCCTTCCTCCAGCCACCTCTCCGCCGGGTCAGTCCTGTGGGGCTGCTGTGCTGGGTCGTCTGACAAGGCCCCCTGCCCTGGAAGCTTTGTTCTCTCGCAGTCTGAGTACATGAAATTTCTCCTGTGACGCATGTGTCGGGAGGTGACCGGGAGGCCCGGCCCGCCCCATCATCCCCTCGCCCTGCCCGCAGGTTCTGCCTCCTGCAGTCCATGAAGCACTGCCAGGTGCAGCGGGAGAGCCTGGTGCGGGCCGGGAAGAAAATTGCCTACCAGGGCCGGGTCAAGGACGAGCCCGCCTACTACTGCAACGAGTGCGACGTGAGTGCCCCCGTCCCCGCTTCCCTGGGGGCCGGCACTGTCCTTGGGCTTCCCTCTCTGTGACCGCCGCCCCCTCCCCGCCGCAGGTGGAGGTGTTCAACATCCTGTTCGTGACGAGCGAGAACGGCAGCCGCAACACGTACCTGGTGCACTGCGAGGCATGCGCGCGGCGCCGCAGCGCGGGCCTGCAGGGCGTAGTGGTGCTGGAGCAGTACCGCACCGAAGAGCTGGCGCAGGCCTATGACGCCTTCACGCTGGTGAGGGCCCCACGCGGCGGGCGGACGGGCAGGCGGGGACAGACTCCCTGCGGGCGCCGCGGGGCCACCAGCACACGCCTGGGCTGGACCTAGGTCCCGCCTCTGGCCGGGAAGGGGGTCGGGCCCAGCCCTTCCACCCCATTGGCAGCTCCCCTCACTTAATTTATTAAGAAAAAATAATTTTTTTTAAACAAATATGAGGAAAAAAAGGAAAAAAAAATGGGAGACGGGGGAGGGGGCTGGCAGCCCCTCGCCCACCAGCGCCTCCCCTCACCGACTTTGGCCTTTCTAGCAACAGACACAAGGACCAGGCTCCGGCGGCGGCGGGGGTCACATACGGGTTCCCTCACGCCTGCCAGCCGCCCGCCCGCCCGCCCGGCGCAGACGCACGCGGCTCGCGTATGTACATAGACGTTACGGCAGCCGAGGTTTTTAATGAGATTCTTTCTATGGGCTTTACCCCTCCCCCGAACCTTTTTTACTTCCAGTGCTAGCTGTGACCCCTGTACATGTCTCTTGTTTATTCACTTGGTTATGATTTGTATTTTCTGGGTTTTTTTTTTTTTGTTTTGTTTTTTTTGGTTTTTAATTTATAACAGTCCCACTCACCTCTATTTATTCATTTTTGGGAAAACCCGACCTCCCGCACCCCAAGCCATCCCGCCCGCCCCTCCAGGGACCGCCCGCTGCCGGGCTTTCCTTGCGCCCTAGTGTGTGTCCGGGCCCGGCCCGACCGTCTCCGCCCGTCCACCCGCCCGCCCGCGGCTCCAGCCGGGTTCTCATGGTGCTCAAACCCGCTCCCCTCCCCCTACGTCCTGCACTTTCTCGGACCAGTCCCCCACTCCCGACCCGACCCCAACCACGCCTGAGGGTGAGCGACTCCTGTACTGTAGGGGAAGAAGTGGGAACTGAAATGGTATTTTGTAAAAAAAAAGAAAAAGAAAAAAAATGAAAAAATTTTAAAGTTTTAAAGAGAACTATGAGGAAAAGGAACCCCGTCCTTCCCAGCCCCGGCCAATTTTAAAATCACGGACCTTCCCCTCATCACCCCACTCTCCCCTTTTTTCTTTTTAAGCGTGAAACAGCCCAGGCCAGGGCCTCACTGGGGCAGGGACACCCCGGGATGAGTTTCTGGGGCTCTATTTTCGTTTTGTCGGTTTTTTGTTTTTTTTTCTCCTCCACGCTGGGGCTGCGGAGGGGTGGGGGATTTACAGTCCCGCCCCCTCGCACTGCACTGTCTTTCTGCCCCAGGGGCAGAGGGGTCTTCCCAACCCTACCCTTATTTTCGGTGATTTTTGTGTGAGAATATTAATATTAAAAATAAAATCAGAAAAAAAAAATCCTGTTTCGGTAACGTGCTAGTGGTAGCAGGGAGAACCCTGGGAGGAGGGCAGACCGTGATTGATGGGGAAGGACTGCGCAGACCCCAGCTAGGGGAGCCCCTCCCCGGAGGCGCCTGTGGAATGTCCAGAGCTCCGGTCTCTCCTTGGTATGGGGGGGTGCCTAATCCTGGAGTCGCATTCCAGGATAAGGGGGGGGGGGGGTGGGGAGAGGCTGGGCCGGGGGAGGGGCAGGAAAGAGGACTATAAGGGCCACGGCCCAGGCGGGAGGGAGCCAGGCGGGCCATGGCGGATGTCCCCGGGGCGCAGCGACCGGTTCCCGGCGGTGGCCCAGAGCCCCGGGACCCCCTGGATTGCTGGGCCTGCGCTGTGCTGGTCACGGCCCAGAATCTCCTGGTGGCCGCCTTCAACCTTCTCCTGCTGGCGCTGGTGTTGGGGACCATCCTGCTGCCCGCTGTCACCATGCTAGGCTTTGGCTTCCTATGCCACTCCCAGGTGAGCATGCGCCCGCGTTGTCGGGGAAGGGTGGCGGCGGGGTCTGTGGGCCACAGCCTCGCCGGGCCGGGCTGTTTGGCTTGGGCCTCACGCCGCTTCTCCTCCCACAGTTCCTTCGCTCCCAGGCACCCCCTTGCACCGCGCACCTGCGGGACCCGGGCTTCACAGCCCTGCTGGTCACTGGATTCCTGCTCCTCGTGCCGCTGCTCGTGCTTGCCCTGGCCAGCTACCGCCGCCTCTGCCTGCGCCTCCGCCTGGCCGATTGCCTCGTGCCTTACAGCCGAGCCCTCTACCGGCGCCGGCGCAACCCGCAGCCGCGGCCAGCCCGGTCCTCGCCAGGGCCCCAGGTTGCTCCAACCTCAGGAAAGGTCTGGGTCTGAGGACCCTCGAGTCAAGAACTACCCTGATGACTGCCCTCCCTCCCGGTCGGCCCAAGGACTTGAAGCCCTCACTCGTGCCTAAACCCGGTCCAGCATCCCCTTAGGGAACTGAACATCTGTTGGCCCAATTCTGGTGAAAATTTGCCACACCCTGAAATCCCACTTTCGTCTCACTACCCATATCTGAATCCTGAACATTTGGGCCGGACCCTTTATCCCCCCAGCCCCCTGTGAATAGACCTCACTGGTGCTCTCCTTTTTCGGTGCTGCTCCTAGTATTTACGGACTGGGGGGCGGGGGGGGGGGGGTGGCGAGGTTGGAGGGGAAGGAGTCATCACACATCAATAAAGAATTAATGAACTGAACGCAGTCCTGGGATCCTGTGAACAGAGGGACGGCACAAACACTATCATTCCTGAGACGGCCCAGGAGCAGGAAACAGCTAAGGGGTGGGGGGTGGGGGTAGCGCTAGTTCGTAGGCTGGAGCATCCTTAAGTCTCCTGGCCTTTCCTTATCGCATTAGCCCGCTCTTCCTGGCCAGACCCCAGAGCTCTGTCCCTGACCCCAAAGGCACCTTCTCACCAATAGAGTGAAGGGGGCCCGGCCTCTGTCGCCTGCCCTGCTCCCCTTGGGGACCCAAGTCTGTTCTCTGACCCCAGCTTAAGAGGAACTCGGTGTTGCCAGGCCGGAGAGGGAAACAATGGGCCTTCCGGAGCAGGATGACACCCCCCTCCTGCCACAATTCTGGAGCAGCTGCGTGGGAGGGAAGACGGAGGGGCCCATCCTAGGGCCTGTGGATCTGAGGTTCAGCCTGTCCCCCATCCTGACCTCGAATGTGAGAGAACCTTTTGCAGTCCTGGAGATCCAGGTTGTGGAAGGAGGGCTGAGTGCTCCCGACCTCAGATAAGCTTGCTCTAGGGATGAGATGTGCAATCCCTGCCCCAGCATCCCAGCTACACACAGACACAGGTTACAGTCAGTTACAGGTTTAATGAGGACTGAAAGGCATGTGCGACAGGGCTCAGAGATAGGGAGGCCCCGCCAGGCTCTCTCTTTGCACCTCAATAGAAACGATGTGGTGTCCAGGTACCATGGCCAGACCCAAGACACGGGGTTCCCCGGCAGAGAAGGAATCTGGAAAGAAGAGTCAGAGAGCATTAGGGAGGGAGGACAGGGTCGGCCACGCCCCCTCTGAGCCACGACTTCTAGCCCCAGAAAATAAGGTGTGCGGCCAGGCACTTTAGGGGAAATGCCTTGCGTGAGGCTCCGCCGCATTCCCCGGTGGGTGTGCAGTCCCTGAGCACTAACCCGACGGCTTGAGGAACTCCTGCGCCGAGCCCAGGATAACGTTGCAGTCACGGTCGGTGCAGAGGAAGCAACCGACCAGGGTCCGTCCATCTGTCATGCGAATGCGCATAGTCTTGTTAAGCAGCGCCTCCAGCTGCTGCCTAGCGCGCGCAGCCGGCGAGTCCTCCTCGCGCTCCCCGTCTGAATCCTGTGCGGGGCGGGACAGGCGCTCAGACCGCGCCGCCCGGCTGCAGCCCGCCCGCGGAACCACAGCTCCCGACAGCCTGCGGGGCGCTCACTCGAAGCCCAGAGGCTGCCGGGACCTGCAGTTCCCCTTCCGTTCCCCCATCTTGCTCCCCGAAAGCCCCTCACTCCCAGAACCCGAGCTAACCCCGGCGCTGGAGCTGCTTTGACGCCGGCTGCAACAGCCATTTTCCTCTCGTAGCAGCATCGTTGGTCCAGCTCCGGCCATTTGTTCCCGGGCCTCCTACAAGCCCTTCAACTTCCTAAGAATCTTTTGAGTCCGGTGGTCTGAGATCTCGCGAGCGCTCCCGACCTATTTTCTTTCGCGAGATCACCTCTCCAGTTCTTCGTCTCTTCGGCAACTGCAGAGATCTCGCGAGCTTCTCCTACACGAGTGCTGCGGCTCAAGGCGGCCAATTACGCCGGACGTATTACGATATCGCGAGAATTTTTCAACTCTCTAGATTCTTACCGGTCTCACTGGAATTTAGCGACAATTTCATAATTACACTCCTCCGGTTCGTTTTTTTTTTCCCTGCCTCGCGAGATAGTCTGTCCTAAAGAGTCCCTGTAACCCTGACCACTGAACGAATTAAAACGGAGTGTGTTCTCTTTCCTTCGGACCTCTTGAGGACACAATTACTTGAACGCCGGAATCGGACTACGTTTCCCATGAGCACCCGCAGCCCACGCCCCTCTATGCCTGTACAGCGTTCAATCTCAGTAGACGGTGGCCGGAAAGGAACAATGGTTTCCATATCAGCGGATAAACGCGCTCGCCTTAGCTACCGGACGAGGGAGGATGCAGTAGTGAGTGCGTGCTGAAGAGCGAGGAAGCAACTAGTCAGTGAGCAGTAGAGCAAGAGCTATGCCAAGCCGGGGCCTAGTGGCCGGGCCAAACTTTGAGTATTTTCAACGTCGCTATTTCACGCCTGCCGAGGTGGCCCAACATAACCAGCCGGAAGACCTCTGGGTGTCTTACCTGGGAAACGTGTACAACCTAACCCCGTTGGCACAGGAGTACAAGGGTAAGGGCCACAATTTGGGCCAGCGTCGGGGGTGTGTGATTCTTAGATGGCTAGCACTGACGGCGGCTGCTCCTTCCCAGGAGACTTGCTGCTGAAACCCATCGTGGAAGTGGCAGGCCAAGATATCAGCCACTGGTTTGATCCGAAAACCAGAGACGTGAGTTCTTCTGGAAACTGGGGTTGAGGGGAGGAGGTGCTGGAGGGTGAAGAGGAAAAATAGAGGCCAACCAGAGCCCGAGATAGTGACTGCTCCCACCCTCCTCCCCTGCTTTAAAGATCCGCAAGCACATAGATCTGCTGACCGGTTCCCTGAGATACCGCACCCCCCGGGGCCGCTTTCTGCACGTGCCGCCTCAGCTACCCCGTTCGGACTGGGCCAATGATTTCGGGAAGCCTTGGTGGCAAGGGTCGCGTTATGAGGTGGGGCGGCTGTCCGCCAAGACCCGGAATATCCGCATCATTAACACGCTCACGTCGCAGGAGCACACACTGGAGGTGAGAACTGGTGCCTGGGGGCAGGATAGAGGGAACTAAGAACCCCAGCAAAACTCCAAACAGCTCAGGACAGCAGCTCTCCACAGCCAATGGAAGCTGTGTTTTCTTCCCTTTTAGGGGTAACGGAGGAAAGGTTACCTGGGTTCTGGGGGTTGGGAATTCGAGCCCAGGGCGACAGTTTGTACATCTTAGTGATGGTGGTCCTCAGTAGCTCTTTCGTGCTGTTTTTGTACATCAGTTCCAAGTGTACTCTTACTAGTCTACTTTATTGTGGGGATGAGGTCAGGGCAGTGACGTTTGGGCCATCTGTTTATTAGAAGTGGCTGCCACAAAGGCAGGTAGGACTCGGGGGCCATTCATTGCATGCTGGAGCTTCAGCTTTATTTATGGGACCGTGGAGTGCCTTAATCTGCTGTTATCTGCCAAGGGAAGCACCCTAACCCCAGCTCTGTCTCCTTCTGGGCTTCTGGCCTTTGCTGTGTGTGTGTGTGTTCCACCCAGAATTCTGGGGTGGGGTGCTTTCATGTTCTCCAGGTGGGGGCCCTGGAATCGATGTGGGAAATCCTACACCGCTATCTCCCCTATAATGCACATGCTGCCAGCTACACGTGGAAATATGACGGCAAGAACCTGAACATGGATTATACTCTGGAGGAGAATGGGATCCAGGATCAGCAGGAAGAATTTGATTACCTCAATATGGACAGTACACTTTACACACCTGCAGTACTGCTGTACTTCAATGATGACCTCACAGAACTATAGGACGGGAGGCGTATGCTCCTGTAGACTCAAGACAGATTTGGAGTTTAGCTGTTTCTGTGCCCTGGAGGAAAAGAGGTGGGGATGGGGAGGGGCGATGCCTGGACCTAGACCTTTCCACTCTGGGAGCTGGCATGAGGTTCCCATGCCCTACTGAAGTGTAAAGATCCTGTTCCTCAGGTTCATTAGCATTTACTCTGAGAAAGCTAGGAAGAATGCTAGAAATGGATTCATTTTTAGGAATGATACAAGAAAAATAAGGTATCTTAGATCAGGGAGATGTAGAAGAGGATAGTCAAATAGAGCTCAGGCAGAACTTATCCATAGTAAGAGAAAGAGAAGTTCTACACAGGGATGAGGGATGGAAGAACTTTTCTGGCAATGATGGAAATAGCATAGCTGCAGGAAGATGGGATTTACAAAGACAGGAAGAGGAGATATCTGCCACTGGCCACACAAAACTGGTTAGTCTTTCTTCTGAATAGTATTTGGCAGCTGAAACCGAAGAGGAAGAGGGGGAGTGAATGGTCACCAGGTAATTCAGGCCAAATATTATGCTATATATGCTAATTTAATATAACTACCCATAAGACAGATACCATTTCCACTGTTCTACAGATAAATCTTCTCAAGCTTAGCAAGAAGCTTAATTGCACAGAAGGTACACTAGTTCGCAACCAGAATGTAAATGCAGGTCTTTCCAATTCCAAAGTCTGTGTTCTTTTCAATATGAAGAGAATATGTCAGTGTCCCAGCTTACTGCATAATGGGAACCTATAGGCCTATTGTGTAGTCAGCCATGGTGTGGTTTTTTTGTTTGTTGGAGTTATTGTCTCTGGAAGGGAGTTAGCAGAGTTCTCCTGTGGCAGAGAGGACACAGGGAAGGCTAAGTGTCAGCTAAATAACAGCTGTTGAGGCTACTTCATGGTTAAACCCACAGCAAACCTTTCCTCTGACTCTTCTGAGGCACAGAGGTGGGTATATACTGACTCCAGGAAAACGAGAGTGGGTAAGGGCCACTGGGTAGGCCACTTTGGGTACAAAAGTGTATTCACATGGGGTACAAAAAGGAAGCATTGGCATGTATATTCATGATGGGCCTGTGCCTCTGATGGGAAGGTGAAGAAGATGGAGTTGGCCTTGCCAGATGGTGACTCTGCAAGAAGGGGCTTGACAGGGGTGATGCAAAGGGAGAAGCTAACTAAGTCAACTAAGCTAACTAAGTTCTCAAAAGAGAACAACCATGGAGGGCAGTAGCCAGATTTAGTCCCCTATGACCTAAGCAGGGAAGGGGAAATGAGCATAACAGGTGAATTTCTTGACAGTTTCAGGCAAAAAAAATAAGCAGGGAGATTGTTAGTGTATCTTCCTGGAAGGTGGCCCCCTAGGAGACAGTGGGTGGGCTGCACAGGAGTGCTGAGGGGCTGATTAGGAATGGCATGGACAGAGGTAGGGACGTCTGTGTCCCCCTTTGGCTTCAGCAGTGTCTGAATTCACTGTGAGACAGCTTCCATTCAGTCCCATGTAATGACAGAATCCATGAATTATCTCAATCATTTTGACCTTTCATCAACTCTGCAGCTGTTTCATGTGTATCTTGTTTGCTCAGTTAAACCCGGGAACTATTTGAGAACCAAAACTATGCTGTTGCTCTAGCCTTGGCCTTAGTGCCTGTGCCTATGGGATCTGCCCAAACTTGCCCCTCTTTCCACATTTCCTACTTCAGTACCTCTTGCCAGACATACATCCCTGTCCTCACACACAGTCACTCTCCAAGCAGATTCTATCACCTAAATATCCCTGGGATCCATCTGCTTTTCTCAAAGCTGTCACTACTTCTGGTCTGGAGTGCTTCCTAACCAGTCCTCCCATATCCACTTCTGTCCTCCCTGGTGGCTCACTGGTAAAGGATCCACCTGCCAATGCAGGAGATGCACATCGATTCCTGGATTGGGAAGATCCTCTGAAGAAGAAAATAGCATCCCACTCCAGTATTCTTGCCTGGAGAATCCCATGGACAGAGGAGCCGGACAGGCTGCACTCCATGTGGTCGCAAAGAGTCGGACACGACTTAGTGACTAAACAACAGCCTCCACACAGAGCAGAGTGAGCTCTGAAAAACAAACCTAAACATCTAACTTTCCTCCTGCAGATATCCCAGGGGCTTCCAGTTGCTTCTGGAATAAAATCCTAAATCCAAAGACCTTGCATAAATCAGCCTCTACCTGGCATCATCCCATCTTCATTCCCTACCTCCCAGTCACACTGGCTGGGTTTCTGTTCACTAAATGCCTTTCTGCCTCAGAGCTGACACACAGGCTGTCCTCCCTGCTTGCAGCACTCTCTCATTTCCCACCTCGATAAAAGTGTTTCTTCCTCACAGCGACCTTGTTTGATTTCTTGATGTAGGTCAAGACTTTCTGTTAAATCTTCTCTTAGCACCAGGCCTATTTCAGAGCGCTTATTACAATAGTAATGTTAACATTATGGATGTAATTGGCTGGCTGGCTGCTAGATTGTAAACTCACAAGGGCAGATAGCATGTCCATCTTGTTCACTGCTCTATTCCCAGTGTTGGGCACACAGTTGCTGCGCAATAAATTTTGATGAACTCAAATGTTAAGTGAATTCCTCTGCCTGTAATAACTAGTGGATGGATGCTGTGTCCTGGGGGGCAAGATGGGACCAAGAAATAGGATGTCTGGGTCCCAAACTGTAATCTCTGTCCACGGGTTTCTTTCCTTGCTTGCCATAGATCCAAGACCAAAAGTGACTCCACAGAAGGTCTTCCCCGATTTTTTGGGGCAATTGACCTGTCTTTTCTCTATATGGCCACCAGGTGGCTGTAGTCACCTATAGAGTGAAGGGAGAGGGGCCTAGACAAGGAAAAACACTTTCAACTTCTAAACAGGTTAGGATTAAAGGTAGCCCATGGAAATACATAGGTGGGAGGAAAGGATTAGAAAAAAAGAGAAAACAACATGGCCACTATTCTGTTAGCATTAGGTTTATTCCTGGTTTTTTTTCATAAGCACATGCCAGAAAAGGAGTGTAGTTTGACAAATAAAACTCATGGGATAGGCCATGAAGGGGGTCTGATTACAGGAGTGGGTGTGTACAGGGTGAGGCACAGAACTATGGAAGGGATAAAAATCAAAAATTTTTCAGATAATAGAGTATGTTCATTTATTCTTAGTGGGCTTGTTTTGCTTGTATAAAGCTTTCTACTGGGCACTACCTTGATTCTCTAGATATCCAAGACTGGATATTTGCATGAAGAGTATGTGAATAATGCCTGTTCCTAAAACCTAGATTCTAAATAGAACATGAGTGTAGGCTTCAGGTCCTTCTGTGGTGGTCTCTCATTTTGGAGGGAGGTGGGGTGGGGGTATATTGAAAGAACAGTTTCCTATCCTAAGTAGATCACTGCAGCTTCAAAGAATTCACCTGGTGAATATTTCCCACAAGCCTCAGTCACTAGATGCACATATCCTTTGCAGGAAGCTTGCTCACTCAATGGGCTACAACATGCATACATGAAAAGGTAAATGAATGGTAAAGGACAAAATTATGGCAAATCACAATTAGCCTGGGCCTGCAGAAATGATTTCTAAATATTATGTGTATGTGTTTTTGTCTGCATCTGCAGAGATGGAGATGTGTATGATTTTGGAGAAAAGTGCTGTAATTTCCATCTTAGTCTCAAAATGGCCCAGCCCCTGACCCTAAAATAGTACACACATAAGCACAATCATAAAGACCCCAAAAGTAAAGTATCAAAGGTGACAATACAGTGTGGTCCCAGGATTCCTGTCACCTGCCTCAACGGTCTACTTCAACCTGATTATCTGTGAAACAAGATAGTAATAGGCCACACTGAGTGGCATCACCTCCCTGCATGACAAACATAGGCTGCTGTTCCAGTCACCTAGTGTTGCTTAAAACCATCCCCAAACTTAAGTGGCTTCAAACCACCACCATCACTTATTTTGCTGAGTCTGTAACTTGGGCAGGGTTCACTGGGGACAGCTCATTTTCACTCCATAAGGTATCAACTGGGTAGATTACTGGAAGCTGGAGAATTCACTTTCAAAATGGCTCACTTGCAAACAGCTGGAAAGTTGATGCCATCTATGGGCTCTTCTCCATGAGAGTCCCTTCTCAGCTTGGGTGGGCTTCCTCAAGGCATGGTAGCTCAGTTCCAAGAGCAAGTCTCCCAAGAGAACCAGGAGGAAGCTCAAGCACTTATTATAACCTCATCTCAAATTCAAGGGGAAGGAACTAGGCCTCACTTCTCAGTGGGAAGTGTCAAAGTCACACTGTAATAAAAACATGTTGGATGTGAGTTATTATTGTGGCCATTTTTGGAAAATACAATTGACCACAGATGCCCTGGAGGCAAAAGGAGGGACATTCAGTCAGTCTTAGGTAGCAGTGGGGTTTTGAGTCTTTCTGAAAACCAAAGTTGGAATCCTGGCCCCAACATCCACTTCTTCAATTCATTAACCCAATACTGAGCATCTACTAATGTATCAGGCACAATACTGGACTCTGTGACTATACACTAAATAGTAAGACACAACTTCTGCCCTCAAAGAGCTTACAGGATAGTGGGAGATTCATACAAGTTTGTGAAGCTCCTAACCAGTCATCTTGCTTCCACTTGTACAAAGCCAACGGAAGTATTTTGTGTTTGTTTTTTACTGGCATATAATTGATGCTTTTGAACTGTGGAGTTGGAGAAGACTCTTGAGAATCCCTTGGACTGCAAGGAGATCCAACCAGTCCATCCTAAAGGAAATCAGTCCTAAATATTCATTGGAAGGACTGATGTTGAAGCTGAAATGCCAATACTTTGGCCACCTCACACGAAGAGCTGACTCATTTGAAAAGACCCTGATGCTGGGAGGGATTGGGGGCAGGAGGAGAAGGGGACAGAGGATGAGATGGTTGGATGGGCATGAGTTTGAATAAACTCCGGGAGTTGGTGATGGACAGGGAGGCCTTGCGTGCTGCAGTCTATGGGGTCACAAAGAATCGGACACGACTGAGCGACTGAACTGAACTGAATAAAATGTGTGTCAGTTTCAGGTGTACAGCCAAGTGCATCAGTTACACATGTACATATATCCACTCTTTACATTCTTTTCCCATATAGGTCATTACAGAATATTGAGTAGAATTCCTTGTGCTACACAGTAGGTCCTTAGGAGGAAGCTTTTAAAGTTCCCCTAAGTCTTCAAAGGCTTTAAACATAGGACAGACACCCTTACTACTGTCCTCAAGGCCCTGCATGATCTGGCTCTTCCAGACTCTTCTTTTTTCAATTTTACATCTATCTTACTGAAGTACAGTTGATTTACAACATTGTGTTAATTTGTACTACACAGCAAGTGATTCAGTTGTATACACAGAGAGATCCTATGGACTATAGCCCACCAGGTTCCTCTGTCCATGAGATTCTCCAGGCAAGAATACTGGAGTGGGTTGCCGTACTCTCCTCCAGGAGATTTTCCTGAGGGATTGAACCCACGTCTCTTATTATGTCTCCTGCATTGGCAAGCAGGTTCTTTACCACTAGTGCCACTTGGGAAGCCCCATATACATATATGTGTGTGTATATATTCTTTTTCATTTTTTCCATTATGGTTTATTACAGGATACTGAACATAGGTCCCTGCACTATACAGTAGGACCTTGTTCTTTGTCCATCCCGTATGTAATAGTTTGCATCTGCTAATTTGAAACACCCAATCCATCCCTCCCCTACGCCACCTCCCCTAGGCTCCTCTTTATCAGTTTCTGACCCTCCTCCCAAGCTCCTTTCTGCCAGGGCCTTCTAACATGCTGTTTCTCTGCATGAACACCACCCTCCACTCATCACTTGGCCAACAACTGCCCTTAAAAGTGTTTGCTTAAATGTCACTTTTTCAGAGAAGTCTTCCCTGGTCCCTTCAATTATGTCAACTCTTTCATCACACCCTCTCAGGTTGCCATGAAACATCATAATTACAATAAAAATATCTAGTGTAATTTGTTCTTTAATGTCCATATTCCTCTTTAGAGTATAAGCTCTGGGGGGAACATGATCAATATCCAGCACCCAGCCCCATGCTCAACCCAGATCAGTTACTCAACATTCATAAAGTGAACACATATAATGTTACAAATACTACAAAAGGGCTGAGTATGAAATGCTTTAGAAGTATCTAATCCCAGTCTGGGGAGATCACTTGGAAGGCTTTTTGGAGAAGTATTGTCTCCAGCTGAGACTGGAAGGACAAGGAGGAGGTAGCCAAATGAAGAGGTGAGAGGGTGGGAGGAAGAATAGACAGCACAGAGTGCATAGTTTAGAGGTGAGGTTGTGTGGAGAGCTCAGAGGCAGAAGGAAGTGCAGAATGGTAAACCAAGAGGAGACCAACAAGAGATGGGAGGCCTGAAGAGGGTGGGCAATAAGAGGCATTGAGGCCAGAACAGGTCCTGTGAGACTTTGTAAACCAGGTTTTTTGTTTTTGTTTTTAATTGAGATATGGTTCACATACTATAAAATTCACCCTTTCAAGCATACAAGTTGGAGTTAAGGGTTTTATAAGGAGAGATCAGAATTGCATTTTTGTTTTTGTGTGTGTGTGCGGAATAAAGTTTTATTAAAGCATAAAAGAGATAGAGAAAGCTTCTGACATAGGCATCAGAAGGGGGCAGAAAGAGTACCCCCCTGCTAGTCTTCAACTGGATGTTATATAGTCGCTGCTGCTGCTGCTGCTAAGTCGCTTCAGTTGTGTCTGACTCTGTGCGACCCCACAGACGGCAGCCCACCAGGCTCCGCCGTCCCTGGGATTCTCCAGGCAAGAACACTGGAGTGGGTTGCCATTTCCTTCTCCAGAATTGCATTTTTGAAAAGGTGACTTGACTACAATGTCAAGAGAGAATGGATGCAAGGGGAGAAAAAGAACAAAGTGGAGACAGGGAGACGGTGCCATTACAGCAATTCAGGGAAGAGTGGAAAGGTGGCTGGCATGAAGTTCGTGGCAGTGGAGGTCAGAGAAGATGAACTCAAGAGAGAACTGCACAACCCGGTATTCTATTGGGAAGGGTCTGAGGCAGGGCGAGGAGTCAAGGATGACACCTAAGTTTTGGGTCTGGGTGACCAAGAGGATGATGCATCCACTGACAGAGGAGGGAAATGATTAGAAGGAGAGTTTCATGGGGAAGGAAGATGATGTGTTTTTAGTTAGATCTCTGAAGTAACTCTGGAGCATGGAAATAACAGATGTCCAGATCTTACCAAGTATGTGGTATGAGATCCTGAATAGAGTTAAATTATCAGCAATAACTATTACCAAAATCAAAGATGAGATCACTTCAAGAATAAAGTGTGATCTACATGGAAGGCCTGGGAGGAACAGTATCTAAGAGAGAGGAGGAGAAGGAAACTCAGAAGGATGAGCCAAAGTGGTGAGAGAGACCCTGGAAAATGGTGCTGGTGAAGCCAAAGAGAGAGTATTTGCGAGGAGAGAATAGTCAACAGTGTGAAACGTCACACAGTCGAGTAAGGTGAGGACTTGAGTGTCCACAGATTTAGCAACAGCAAAATAGTGGTGCCTTAGAGAAGACGGT